CACACAGGATAGGGGTCCTTACAACTCAGATTGGTAATACACAGTATGCTTCAAACTCATTTGAGTGACTAAAGATAACCTCTATCCTGAAGCTCCACCAGGAGTATTTCTGGGTCTGCTTACAACCTTGGTCAGCTGGAGTCTACATGTTAGTCTCCATTTCTGCCACTCCACTCAGGTACCCATTATGCCAATTCTAAGAACCCAGAGCTGCCCAGAAGTTTTGTCCTTGCAAGTACCAGGCAGTTAATCATATATCCCTTATGCCCTCTCTTTTCCCACATGTTTTTTGGTCCAAGAGTTAGGAGGTGGTTCTCTACCCCCATAATGATATTTGATGTAAAAACAAGCTGCTGCAGAGGAAAACTGAGGAACACGGGTTGTAACAATGTCAGGCTCTTAGTCCAGAGCAGTCTCGGAGGCTATCGTATAGCTGTGTTTTTCTGCCGTGGGGCATCATTAATTTTGTGGAATGCCTATGGTAACATCAAGGGAGCTGCTCTACCTTTAGGCTGCACCTGAATTCAATTTCTATAGGTCACTTTTATGTCACTAGGTCCTTCAGATTCATATCTGCACTAGAACTGCCCTCATGTATTCTGTTCTGGAAAGAGGAAGAGAAAGCATTGCTGAGCTGCATTTACATGGTTTTTTGTTTCTTTTTAAATGGCTTTGAGAGAGTCATCTGAAGAAAGATCTCAAAGGGCTCCATATATGTAAGGGGTATTAACTCTTCCAACAGGGACTAACCTTTAGGGGCATAAAATTGAACATTTTGCAGTAAAACTCTCTTCATAATTGCATTAGAATGGGTTCTTCAAGAAGATGCCATGATGGAATTGGACATGTAAGGTTTACTGGGTGGTGGTGGGAGGGGGGGATGTCTGTGAGGGAAAACAGAGATGGTTCCTGAGAGACTGGAAGAGCCAACAGATCATGAAGAAGAAAGGACTTAGGCTTTACTGCATTTCTAAGAAAGTTTTGGCAGGGCTGATGGGGAGTTCTTGAGCCAAAGACACCCATGAGTGGAGTCCAGTATCTCAAAGGAATAGGTTTGCTTTAATATCTCTGTCCTCATTCATTAAACAGCCCATGGGAAGTGGGACCTCAGTGCAAATGCAGTAGATTTCAGAGCATAGTGGCTGAGGCTGTAAGTCAAATGTGCTCCCTGCAGTCAGATCTTAGCGGCACATTTCCATAGCCACCACAATCTATTCTTGCACTGTAAACAGATCTCCTTCAGACAGATTTGGGGATCAGCTCCTCCATAGTTCCCATGAGATTCTCTTGCTAAGGGGAAACTTAGAAGAAGGTTAGTGAGAGGAAATACAGCCCCTGTGTCTGAAGTTTATCCTCAGAGCTACAGCTGTTGCCAATCCTCTCCCTCTTCCACTATCTATTTGAAATTTTCCCACCCTCAGCTGTCACCTCTGCAAGTTGGTGGCTTGTCTGGTATAGTGACCCAAACCTTCATTCCTGAGGAGGATGAGCGCTTCTTAATCACACCCTTCTTACTTTGGACTGCTGAACATGTACATTCGTGGTTGCAGTGGGGCAAGGTAGTACCAAGAGGTGCCTACGTGGATCACTTGACTTCCACACATATTCTTCTCTGTACTCATTGTATAAAAGCTGCCCTATCTTTTCCTACAGATTGGGGTCAATTACTCCTGCCAGTATGGTAAATACTCTTCTCATCTGTTGGTCCCAGGCACAATAGTCTGAAGTATCCTGACAGCAATCATAATCTGTAGTTCAATAGGACACTTGTTATGTCCTTTGGCAAGAGTGAGCTCCCTTCAGGGCTGCAACCCTGTAGAGCCAATAGTTTCAGGGACAGGAAGCAAAACTCCCCCAGTGTATCATTGTGAATGATGGTATGTGGGGTTATTCCTGCTTCTCTCCTTTGCTTCCTGGACCCATGTATTCTTCCTCTTGGGGATCTAGCTCCAAGTAATAATCTCTGATTTAATGTCTATACTGTACCTTAATGGATGGCACCCCAATTTTTTGAAGTGTTGCCTCTGAGCTGCTACTTCAGCTTTGTTTTAGAAGGCTGATCCAGGATTCTGTGAGGTCAACTTCTGGTGAGGTATGTGAGACTACCAGTGGATCCTATTGCCATAAGCCCTATCCTGTGTACATCCTTTTCTGTTTTAAACTGGTCCGCTGATCAGATGCTATGTCATGTAGGATTCATGCCTATAGATTAGGTAATCAGTAAGACTCTAAAAGAATGGTGCCAGCCAAGGCTCTGTGGACAAGAAAGGCAAACGCACACCAATAAGTATGTATTACTATGAGCCACTGGCCTTGCCAGGAAAGAAGCAGCCCAATGTAAAGGGGACCACCAGGTGGCCTCCAGGAGGAATAGTATCATATCTAGGGTTCAGCACTGGAATTTGTTGCTGACAGATTGGATATTAAGAGGCAGCAGTAGCTAGTCAACCTTGGTCAGCTGGAGTCTACATGTTAGTCTCCATTTCTGCCACTCCACTCAGGTACCCATTATACCAATTCTAAGGTGACCACCAACGAAGGCTAGCTAATGTCAACCAGCAGAATCATTTGTCTCCTTGGTTGTTCGGTGCCTCTTTTGTGACAATTGATTTTCAGTGACATAAAAATCTTCACAACTTGGGCCCACTCCCATATGTCTATCCATTTGCCTCTACCCCAGAACTCCTTGCTTCTGATCTTCTGGTCTTTTTCTTTCTAGGCCCCTGAAAGACAGCATACCACTGGCCACTGCCCAGGAATTTATATTCTCACCTTGGGCCACTTTTTATTTCACAGAAAGTGGATGACTAGGTTGAAACACTTGGAGTTCCACCCATCAGAAAGACTTTACTTCTCTGCTCTGTAAATGCCATGCCTTTATTTGCCTACAGTGCAGCTGCCATCCATTTTAAGTCATACCTAACCAACCCATCTATAAGCCAAGCTCTGGCTTTTTCTTCCTTCATTTGGTTGTATGGAACCATTTCATATCTCCATTGATGTGATCTAGGGAAGGGGAACTGTGGAAATGTGGTTGACATGAGAGTCTAGGCTACCTGCTCACGCAACTTACTTATGATCCCCTTGTCCTACTAAACTTGATCCTAGATGACCAATTTCCATATTACAATAGACTTCTGCTAGTCCTAATTTTATGATTTAGTAAGTCTGATAGAACCCAACTTATACGGGGCAGTTCTGGATGCATGATCACTTGCTTCCCCATGACCAAATGTTCTGTCTCTACAACCCATTGTCGTTGAGTCGATTCCAACTCGTAGTGACCCTACAGAACAGAGTAGAACTGCCCCATAGAGTTTCCGAGGCTGTAATCTTTATGGAAGCAGACTGCCACATTTTTCTCCCATGGAGTGGCTGGTAAGTTTGAACCACCAACCTTTCGGTTAGTAGCCGAGCGCTTAACCACTGCACCACCAGAGTTCCTTTCTGTCTCTACTAGGGCCCAATAAAACACCAGGAGCTACTTCTCAAAAGTTGTCAATTTTCTGCTGTAAGTGACATAGCCTAGTTCCAAAATACCAGGGATCCACGTAGTGATTCTTCTACTAGGGCTCTCCATAAGCTCCATCCTTCATCTTTCCACATCGCTGATACCTCCAGTACCTGATTCTGCTGGATCTTAAAGCCTAAGCAGCAGGGCTGCCTGTACCATGGCCTGGATGTGCTACAGTGTCCTCTCCTGCTCTGGACCCACTCAAAGTTGAAAGCCCTCTTTCACAGCCGAGGAAAAAGAAGATCAGAGGGTTAGGAGCCTTAGGGTTAAAAGCAGACAAAAAAACAAAACTGGGTTTAATTCCTGCCTCCTGGCTTTATCTCTTATAAATTGAATGACCTTCGGCTGTTTTTTTACCGCTTCTGGGAATCTCAGTTTCCTCATCTGCAAAGTGAGGATAATAATTACTACCTTAAGGTGTGAGAGTTACATCAGTAGCTTCCAATCAACCTTAAGCGCTTTCTGTGAATTAACCATTTTCTAGGTAATGAGCAAATAATCAATCTGGATAGTAAAGTCAATGTTAGTTTCTATAAAGTCTAGAATTTGTAACTTTACCTTATTTTGAGCTGATCCATTTTAAGAACATGGTATATCATGAACAGGGATCCTACAGATGGATCAGCGTTCAGGGGGGATTTCTGTGGGAAGGGGAAGGTTTTCCTTTCCACAGAGCCCTCACTCTGTGGAATTAAGGCGACTTTATGGGGGCAGACCTGCAGGAAAACACAAGGGCAATGCTGGGATGTGGTCATCTTATCTCATTTCCCTTTATTGAGCTGATAGTTTTTCTAGGCCACTTTCTATTTTCATGATTGGTATCTTCATACCCTGCTGGGCATACAGGTCAATCTTTTTCTAGAATTATTAGTACAAGCAGTTTTACCCACATTCCAGTTGCTAAAAGCTTAACTCGTAAAGGGCTTTTGTTGTTAGCCAAGGCCACTTCGATGAAATGATGAGTTTTTAGTATTTGCTCATTAAAATACGCACAGAAAACAGACTGTTAGTAGAAAGTATAATACATTGTGGTAGATACATAATACATGTGTGTTGATACTAATAAACTCCAACTAAAACATCTGAGCTAGGCAGCATAAGTAACTTTTTACGCAACTTATAAAGCAAGACTGTTCTATTTCCTGATGTATAAAATGTGCACAATAATACCTACCTCACAACACGTCAGGATGTTCCTAAGAATTATGCAATTATGTATATATACATAGTATGTACATATTTGTATCAAACGAAAAACCAAAAAACCAAACCCACTGCCGCTGAGTTGATTCCAACTCATGGTGACTCTGTAGGACAGAGTAGAACTGGCCCATAGGGTTTCCAAGGCTATAAATATTTACAGAAGCAGACTGCCACATCTTTCTGCCTTGGAGTGGCTGATGGGTTCAAACCTCTGACCTTTTGGTTAGCAGCCAAGTACTTAACCACTTGCACCACCAGAGATCTTGTATCAAACACTAGCTGTTATTTGTGTTACTGATGTTGTTGTCATTTTTGTTGATTTTCCTCTCGCAGCTCAAATATCCTTTAACATAAAAAGATTAGATATAATCTTCCACTCATATAAATGAGAATTGTACACTCTTTCTTACCATTCCTTTGGAAATACAAAAAATTTGAGACCACAGGGCTTAAAATCTCAGACTTCTTGAGAAGTTCCCAATTGGAGAAGCAGGCTTCTTTTTAAATAAAGATGTAAGAACCTTCTTCTCCATGAGCATATTTGGAAAGGAAGAAGGAAGCAGTAGTCATCTGCCCTTCATCTCTATCTTCACAATTTTTTGGAGAAGTCTCTCCTGGATCTGCTTGGTACAGACAGCATAGACAATAGGATTGAGGATTGGAGGAATAAGAAGATAGAAGTTGGCCAGCAGGGTGTGGATTGGAGGAGACACATGGTGACCAAATCGGTGAATGAGAGAAGAAACAGCAATGGGAACATAGAAGATCAGGATGGCACAGATATGAGAACGGCATGTCCCCAGGGTTTTAAGCCTGGCTTCAGGGGTGGCTAGCCCCATCACGGCCCTAAAAATCATTACATAGGAGGCAGCAATGGCTGCCGAGTCCAGGATTAACACCAGAAAACCAATGCTCAGCCCGTAGACATTGTTGACCCTGCTGTCACCACAGGCCAAAGTAACTACAGCCATATGCTCACACTAGGAGTGAGAGATTCTCCGAGATTTGTAAAGGGGCAGCCGTAGGCGGATCATCAGAGGCAAGTGTCCAATGTAGAGTACCCCACGAAGAAGGGCAGCCAGTCCCAAACGACCCACCACTGCATGAGTGAGCACTGTGGTATGATGTAGTGGGTCGCAGATAGCCACATAGTGGTCAAAAGCCATGGCAAGGAAGATGCCTGACTCAACAGTGGCGAAGCAGTGGATGAGGAACATTTGGGCCAAGCAGGTATCCAGACTGGTATCACTAGCACCAAACCAGAAGATTCCGAGCAATTTAGGCATAGTGGAAGTAGACAGAACCAAGTCAATGACAGCCAGCATGCACAGGAAAAAGTACCTGGGCTGGTGCAGGCTGTGTTCAAACCTTACCCCTGCCAGGATGGTCACATTCCCCACTACAGCCACTAGGTACATGGAGCCAAAGGGGATGGAAAGCCAGAGGTGCAGGGACTCCAGCCCTGGGATGCCAGTGAGCTGGAAAGAGCTGGGTGCCCAGCAGACATTATGAAAAGTAAGCATGGCTATTTACAAATGAATGTTCTCACTTGTGCCAAAAAATGCAGCAGAACTTTTTTTCTCTAGAAATAAAAGAGAAGCTTAGTTTACTCTTAGGTCCTATAATAAAGAACAGGATTATTGAATAGATAAGAAACTATGCAGTGAACCTCTTCTTTCTTGGTAGAAATTGCAAAAATAATAGCATAGTGTAAGTATCATGTTATTACTATATTATAATGTCCACAAAAGTTTTCCAGGCACAAGCCAAAATAAATATTTGAATGAATGAACGTATAAGTATCTTTTTTATAGTATGACCCTCAAAGAGTACCACTATTTCATCAATGAGTGAATTTAACCTAAGAAAGACAGACACCTATTTGGTTATTTACCTCCACAGGAAGGCTATGAGGTGGCTCTCACCATTACATTGGAAGGTTTCAGAGCAAGGGCTCCTAGAAAGAAAAGGAGACACATTGAAGCTGACAGATACAGGATCAGAAGGACTTCTAGATGCTATGTGTAGACTCTATGGTAAATCAAAGCTTAAGCTTGGGGCCAGCATTAGCTATTGGATGAGCTGAAATAATGTCTAAACTGCAGACAAAAATCTCAAGGCAGAGATGTGGGTTGGTGAAGATAGGATTTCACGACCCAACATCAAGGTGATTTCTGAAAGGCTAAAGCTGATGACTGGAGCTTAGCTTATGCATGTCTGATACCCAAAAGCAGAATCTTGCAAGCATCTTCTCTCTTCATGGAGGCTCAATATGAGGGTAAGATTCTAGAAACAGAGAGGACTATCCCCAGGAGGGAAGTGCAGAGTGGCATGAAGCCTAGGAGATGTATATTTGGCCAAAGAAGAAATGCCCTTGCTACTCAGGGTCCAGAGCAACTGGCTAGAAGGGGGATGCATATTTAGAGAAAAGACACAAACAAGTTTCGGTTTGTTTTTTCAGCATCTAAAGGATCATACCAGCATATGCCCCTTAAGTATATTAGGGGAATATAAAGGAAGGCCAGAGTACATAAGTAGCTTTTTCTTCTACGTTTTAAACCTAATTAGGCTAAATATAGCAGAGTAGTCATTAGTTCAGGCTCTAGAATTCTCCAGGTCTAGTTTCAGATCCTGGCAGTGGGGGGGTTAGGCAAATTACTTTATCCCATTAGCTAAATACAGCTAACCTCACTTCACAACAAATGTAACTGCTCTAGACTACAACTGATTTTTTTTCCTTCCTTTTTTTTTTTGTCATGAGGATTAAATGAAAATGCAATGCCTCACGCATAATAATACTAAGTGTTAGCTCTCTTTATTCAGTTGTTGAGGCTAATGTGTAAAACCAAAAATATGTTCAGTAAACCTCAAAGAACTTTGGAATGTCTATTTCTCTAGGGAGCCATGGTGCTGGAAGGATGACGCAGATGTAAGCCTGCTGTAGTGACTGCATCCCCTGGAACTTCTCCCCTTGAGCTGGGCTCCCTTTCCATCTTAAGGTTCTCACAGATTACTACAAATGGATACAGAGAAATTGTTGGTGGTAGATGTAAAAAGGGAAGATAAAAAGGCTGAATCATTAGGGCTGGGAAGGAAAGGACTGCACAGGGGCCAGCCTGTAATTGAAGTAACCAGATGGGGTAAGGTGGGAGGCTTAGCTGGTGGGAGCCTGGCTTGGCTTCCTTATCCTATGTACTGGTTACTCCCCATTTGCCCTTCCAGGTCCTTGCTCTGTGCCCCTGGAAGCTGACTTTTATGGGCTGCATCACCCAGATTCCCCTTTTCTCTGATTGCCAGCTGAGTTCAACTAATGTGAGGCACAGCAGGAAATGACAGAGTGGGATGAGAGATATCAAGCATTTAGTCCCTAGTTCTCATCCTGCCAGGCATATCTGGTAGTGTCTTTGGTTTCTACAAAAGGCTACAGCTCCTGAAGAATGACCCCTCCCGTGTTCTGGTAACTGCACCTTGCCTGGTCATCAGGCCTAGGATAGGTAGTGGCTAGTCACTGATGTTCATCTCGGGTGCTTCATCATCCCTTGTTGGTTTCCTAACCCTGCCCACACCTCTGTAGATAGTCCTTCCATTAAAGCCTCTTCAATTGCCCCCTTGACTGTGCTGTTTATCCTTTCACGTATATATCAGACAAGGCCCCATCAGTATACAATCTGTACCCAGTATTGTTTTTTGCCAAGCTGACTGCTTCCTCAGCCTACATACTTTGAGGTGCACATAATCAAAAAGGTGACAACTTCACAGAACTAATTTTAAAATCAAAGACCTATAGTCTCATGGCAATCAAGGGCAAGATGCTCTTTTCTCTGATTATGGATTTACAATTAAAGGAGGACTGGTCTATCTCACCCCTACCTGTAACCAAATGGCTCTCATAATTTGAGGAAGATGTTGTACTAATCAAAGGTGTAATGAAGTAATCGTATGGAGAATAGTAGTTTTGCTTTATTCCAAAAAGGGAAGAGTCCTTCAATGCAAAGATCAGCAGGACGTGCCAAGTGAATTTTTCTTCTGTTCCCATGATTCCTCCTTATCAATCATCCTATTTGTCTGCTAGACTACTGAAATAGTTTCCTCACTATCTTCCCTTCTGATGCCATTTGAGACCCATCACTATTAAGTAACATCCTGTGGGCAGTGGTCTCTTTCTGGGTTTGGGCAGAGAGGTCACATTGTAGGAGGAGCTCACAAGATCCAAATGCAGAAATGAGGCTAAATGTATGCCTATTTAACTATGGGCATTAGAGGAAGTGATTTCTCTGCAAAGCAAGCAGTTCTCTGATACATCACAGCCTTTGTAAGATCCAAGCCAATTTTTCCAGTCCTCTGAACTGGCCTGGAGCCCTGGAGAGAATAGATTTAATTTTGATTTCCTTTTCCCTTGCTTTCTTTCCCTGTACCTGCCAACAGCCAGAGCTGTTTTCCTCATGGCTGTTTCATTTCCATTTCATCTCTTCCTCTTCCCATCCATCTCCAGGAGAATATCACGCAACTGGAAAGGACCCCTAGGACTGAAGAGATGCACTTCAGCTGCAAGATGGAGGTAGACTGATCTGAGCCCCATTCCTTCCCTCAGATCCTAACAGTATGAGAATATCTCCTTGATGTATATCTCCCTAGTCAGAAGCAACTCCTTAAATATAACTGAAGAAGGCTGCTGCAGCTTCTACTTGGTGGTAGTGTAAGGGTGTAAGGATTCACTGCAAAACAACTCCCACCTTAGCTCTCTTTTCAGATACATATGCCATGACTTCCCACAGCTTTTGCCATCCCTCGCCCTGCTCACTACCTTCCAAAGAGTCTGTTTTTCTATTTCCCAACTGCACCCTATTCTTTTGTCTCTGAGAATGAGCCCTGTTCTTTCCTGGGATTATAATGGCACACGATCTTCCTGTCTTCCACACCTGGCTCATCCAAGAAGAGTCTGCCTTGACCCTTCATCTGTGTTCAGCACCTTCCCTTGTTCTCCACATGTATCATGCTCTGAATTGCCTGCATAATATATGTTTCCCCCAGAAGAACGTAAGTTCCATGAGGGTAGGACTTATACTGTCTTGTTCTCTACTCTAAGTTCTTTGCTAGCACAGTGCCTGCTTTGTTCAATGAGTATAAAATATTGTGCCTATCTGAAGAACTTGGAGGTGTTTTAGATGCCCTTGTATAGGCATCAGTTAACTAGAAGCCTCTTCAGCTTCCTTGTGTGTAGATCTATGTGGACTCCATCCTTTCCAACTTCCAAGATAATTCCTTCTAAGATTGTATTAGATTTATACAGGTGCAGGATCTAAAGTGGGCTGCCCCAGGGTCCCAGGTCTGTTCATCCTAATAGGCTGGGGATTCTTTCTGATGACCACTGCTGCTTTTATAGATTCCCCTTTATAAGATGCTCTTACCTGGACTGGATAATGTCATGAAGCAAGAGCTTGGGGCTATGAAAATGCCTCTGAGGCCTAGCACTTATAAGCATTCTGCTCAGGAGTCTAGAGGATTCCATCTGGACTCTCTACCTCCCTAATTCCCTCAACAGAGAAAAAAAATAGCACGCTTTGTCCCAGAAGGATCGGCACAGAATCTAAAACTGAGCATAACTATCTCTGGCATGTCAGGGTTAGTCCAGAGGAGACTGAGGGGAAAAAGGCAGACGTTTTAATTTAGTCATAATCCCCAGGGTCCAGGACCTGTTATTGTTCCTAGTATCTGGCCGCCCAGAGGTTTGCATCTATTTTGAGGGCACCAAGTAAAAATCAGAAAGACTTTTCCTAAGAAAGGGATGAAGAGCACCTTGGGCATCAGACACAAGGGATTAGAGCTCAGCCTCGCTGTAAATCTTTAACAAAGTTTGGTCTCTTTACAGCATTTGGAGATGATGGGAAAGAGTCCTAAATTAACTTCAGGCAAACCGATGGTTATTCCCTAAAAATTAGATACTCTGGTTTATATTGTAAGGGAAGGACTCACAGACTTGTGAATGGAACACTGCATATCCTTTACATCTTTCTCAACTCTAGCTCCTTCACAACCTAACATCTCATTCCTCAAGAAGGAGAGAAGGCAAAACTGAGGAGATGTATTTTATCTCTTAGTGTATCTTAATGGGATGCTCATGGGTCGTTGGGACATCAGACTTCAGGACATGTAGTAAGACATAGTCTTTGGAGCTCCAAAGGCTTGAGTTTGAAAGTCAGTTTAATTACATACTCACTGCACAGTCTTAAGCAGTTATTTCATCTCTATTAGACTTGTCTCTTCAAACGTAAAATGGGGATGATAATACCTATCTCTCTGGAGAATTGATGTTTAAACTGAGATACTATATGTAACGGGGCTAGTAGTAAGACTGAAACACACCAGACTGAAACATATCAGGTGTTTAATAAACAGCATCATTATCATCAGCATTATGGCTGTTATTTCTGTGCTATCAGGATTCAGTCTATCCTAAGCCTGGGAGACACATCCTGATTCATTCCTTCAGATTAGGGGCCAATATGGTCAGGACAGGGCTTAA